AGTTTTAATAATTAGGGAAAATGGCTCATTGGAATCTCTGTGTTAAGTTATCTCTTCACAAATATTATAAAAAGAGAACAGGCAAAAACAGAGGTAGCATTTTGAGGAATTTGTTTTCTGCCATTTGGAGACTGCCATTTCAGAGCAAATGGAATTTAGTTTTTACCTTTTTTGCACTAACAAAACCAGATACATTTGAAGTGAAATAACTTTTGAAGAATTTCACATAGTAATTTCACTAATCTGAAACAGATAGACTGGAGGACTTTTTTTTTTTTTTAATCAGTGTGCCATAGGGTTGTCAGAAAAAAATAACCTCTTTTTCTAATGAAAATAAGAGGATGAGAATGGTCTTCTAGTCCTATAAAGAAAAATCCCAAATTTTTAGTTAAGAATTGAATTTTAAATATGTTTCAGATAGAGCATGTTTGGTACTGAATGAGGGTGTATCTTTATCAGATCCCTCTGTATCAAAATAAAATTATGGCAATTATAACAAAGCATGCACTTGTGTAATGTACAACTCAGCTCAAAAACACAACATATTTTATATTCATATAACACTTTCCATGATGAGGTTTCCGAGAGTTCAGCACAAACAATATATATATAAAAATATATAAATATGTAACTGAATGATATTTTAGAAATAGTACATTACAGTAAGATGCTTAAGCAAAAAAGTAACCAAATGAAGTGCTGTGCCTTACCGAACAAATGTATAATGTAAAGCATTTATCCAATGCATTGCCAGGTTTTGAATGCATTGCCACCTTTTGCAACATTTCAGTAAATTGTTCTAAGCCCCTGAGGTAGGTTGGAAAGCGCTGACGTAGTGTACGTCAGCAAAACAAACATTTCTAACTTTACGTGCACATTTATGATGTAGGTTACATCTACATTTTAGGGACCTCTTCTGAAACATACATTACAGCTGAAAAATATTCTTCCTCGCATTTCTGAGGAAGACAGGGACTGAATCCTTCACTGTGTCCCACAAGTAAAAATATAAATTAAGTAAGCGAGAAAGAGGAAAACAAGAACAGTCATTGGCTGACAGAACAGACCAAAAACATAAAATCCTACAGGATTATCCAACCTGTTTCATGCAAAACAATAGGGGAATTGATACTGTCAATTAACTGCTGCTCTTGTACTGGTGTTTCCTGGAGGGTGTGATCCATCACACTAGGGATTGCACAAATACTGTGAAAATGCTTTAGTGTTTTCAGTTAAAAGTAATCTATAAGGCAAGCTTCTGAACTTGCTTCTAAAGGTTCTGATGACCTTTGGAGAGTCATCACGAAAGACCAGCTCAGGACGTAAAACACTTAGTCACCTTTTCCGCTTTTCAGGCCTAGCCAGATCTGGGCACAGGTTCTGACATAAAACGGCCAGCGCTGCAGGCCTCCATCACAGCTGGCTTCCTGCATTAAACAATGAGCAACAACATTGCCAAAATTTTCACAGCGCTGAGTAAACGTGACCCAACTCTGTATATTCTCTCCCAGTCCCCAAAGCCTCTCTTCTCAGGCTGCATGCGCGGTGCCATGAAAGCACAGACATATTCCGTCAGCACAGGGTGCTGCAGCACTTTTATGCCACTCTGTGCTTTTAAGCTAGGCACTGAAGGAGGTGAGATTTACCTGGGGTAAGGCTGAATCCTTCAGACCGGGCCCCGCATGCTCAGTGCTCAGGCTGTCTCTCTTGAGACATCCGACCTGATGGAGAACATCTCTCTGGAGGCAGCTGGTGTGGTTACACCACGCAGGCACACCTGAACCAGCATGGCTAATTCTGTGGGGCACCCCAGTGCCACAGCCCAGGCCAGGACTACACAGCCCAAATGGCTGATAGCAGCAATTTAACCTGAATGCTAGACAAGGTGAGTCTACATACCTCTCTATTTCTGTGTAGACCTTAACCGTTCCCTTAAACTGTTAACTGTTAAACTGTTCCCTTCCTATGAGCAAGTAGAAGAGGGGAGAGGGCTGCATTTGGACAAGACGAAGGAGTCTAGGGGAGATGCTGCCTCACACATCCCAAGGCACCAGCTGCAGTTCCCACTGCGCTGTGGGACAAGCCAGCATAGGAGCCATTTCCTCTGGGGAAGCAGGGCTTCTGGCTCCTCCCGCGCCTGGGACCAGCCTTGGCCTCTTCCAGGCTGCAAGCGCTAAGCAGCTTGTTGGAACAAAACGTATACACAATACCCATACAAACAGCTATCCCATAACTGCTTAGCATACAGTGTTTGAAACGTTCAGCTTTCTCCAGTCCTTCTGTCAGTGACAGTGACTGAGGGATTCAGACAAAACTCTGGTATTCTGCAAGTCATGGCAATAAGGTCGTCTAAATGAAAATCCTAGAAGGTAAGGTGAGGCCAGTGAGGAAAGGAGGTTTACAAAGTGTAATCTAAGGCATCTCAAGGCAATGTACATGAATCTTCATGTCTCAATAAAACTTTTTACTGAGCGCTCAGTGCCTGAAACCTGCAAATTTACCCATGTATTCTCCTTCGCTCAGGTTCCATTTAAAGTCTTCAAACTCATATGAATTATTTAGTAGCCTCTGAAAATGATTAATGAGTAATCAAGAATTATATGCCATTGCAGCAGAACATGAGATATCGAACACTTTCAAAAGCCAGGAATGTTATATTTACTCAAAAATTGTAAACCTGTTCAAGCTCTCTCTTAAAAAAAAAATGCTTATGGAGGGACACAGCAGAAATACCTTCCTGACCACTGAGCTAGAGCTGAGCTATTGTGCTCAGTGAAGGTGATGTTTTTCTTTTCCAAAACTTTGTTTTTCCTTTTCAAGGGAAACAGCAAGCTTCCTGGCACCAGCAGATGCTGTAACGCTAAGAAAATGCATAAAGAAGGATCCTATTCCAAGAACACTAGAACAAAAATACATCAGAAGCTTATGCTTCTTTTCCAAAACTTTTGTCAATCCATTGAAAAGAGGAAAAAGCATTTGTCATGTGTAAGGTAGCAGATATATAAAATTTGTACTGCATTGATGCAAGCATTCCTGGTTTCCTTAGAGAAGACAAGAAAATACAAACTTATTCTAAAAGGCCTCCCTTTTCCAACATTGGTCAAATATAGTAGTACCTTCACTTGAATTCACACCTTTTCCTTGTGCTGAAAGAGTATATTGCGAATTTTATAAGTTTTCTATAAGCCTAAGCTTAACATTAAAATAAAGTCTAACAAACTTTAACCTGCAAAATAAAGTAAAGGTAATTACGCCCAAACCATGTGCTGCAGTGGAGCACTAGTCTTAATGAGGCTAGCTGCATTAGGGCGGCAGTCCACCAAGGCCAATTAACTCTTAAGTTTTGTATTTCTATATGGCATTGCACTGGGTGATGTTGGCACATGCTGAATCCTTCCTTTCTTAATTGTATTACTAGAATGCCAATCATAACTTTCAGAGGCCTCTCTTAAAATCGCTTCTGTGGGGGCACTTATTTCAGGCCCTAAAATGTGAGAAGATTCTACACAGCGAATTTATGAAGCTCATTCCAATGAGTACTACATACTTTCTTCTCTTCCACATTTCACTAACGTTTTATAGTAATATGATCTAATGTATATGAGAATTCAGCTAAAGACACTATGGATAAGAAATTTACCTGAATATTTAAAACTTCTCATTATCTTGTCAAATCCTATTGCCAAAACGTAGTCATGACTAAATCTTGTACCGTCGTATGAACAATCAAGAGAACATCCACAGTGCTTAAAAACATGGTGGACCTCACAAACAAGCAAAATTTTAGAAGGATATCTATGTTGATCTTTTCTGTCTAGAATAATGTAATAGAACAAATTGTGCTCTTAGTTTTTGAAGCACTCATTACATTAATGACAGTATTTGTTTCAAAATAAGATCTTTCAGAGAGCACATCACATATCTGCAGCTGCTTCAGACTTCGTGGTAATACTGAATACTATGACATCGAGAAATGATAAGAAAAATGGTTCTCTAACTTCTAAATTAAAGAACTTCATAGGTAAAAGGAAAATGTAATGTATGAGGGCAATGGTATGTATGCACACTTACTGGAATATCTGTCTCTACAGAAGATGCTTTTTTCTATAGTACAGTAAGGATTGACTGAATTCAATGAGTTACAATTCTATCTGTTTATGCTAAGACATATTTTTCAATTTTGTGAAGACTGTACAAAGAAAAATTTAATCAAATTTGTATCTAAGATACCTAAATACAATTTTAAAAAATCATTCTGTCAATGTGACTGCTCTGTTATTTTGTAATGTGCTCTCTAGCCATTAGGAGTAACTTTCAGTTGCCAAAAAAGTGTTTGTGAAATGTAAATGCATTTTGAAGCTTTTGTCTGTTCTGTATTTTCTGCTTCATTATGACAAGGCAACTACAACAGAAATGGCTTGAATTGAATCTGAACACAATGTATAAGAGAGAATGTCACATTCCTAAGCATAGAGCCTGCAGTGTTCTTCATCTAAAAGGTGAGCAACAAGTTGAATGAATTGGTGGCCTTAAAACATCTCTAGAATTTGCAAAGAACAGCAGGGGGAAAAAAAACAAGACACAGAGCAGGGCAATGTAAACAGTTCTGCACCTTGAAACATCTATTGATGATTGAATCATAGTGCTGCCTTCACTTGAAATAAACACTGCACGTTTGGCAAAGGAAATAAGATCTTTTCTGTTGACTTAAATTAATAAAATAAAACACTCATTGATATACTTTCATTAGCCACTGTGTTCAGAAGAGAATGGCACATCTCTGTCTTAATTAAATTGTACTGCTATGGCCAAAGTTCCTAACTTTCTTAGTTTGAAAAGCGCCATTGCTTACCTCTTATGTCTTTGAAAATGTACCAAATATGGATCTCTCTCCAAAAGCACATATAAGTAGTGGTAGTGGGATCATTCTCTTTAAATGTGGTTTGTGTGTCATTGCATACATACAACTTCAGGATACAAAATATAGTTGAGGTGCTTACCTGAGGCTGATGCAGAACCTGCAGTTTTAAATGTGTGTTCCTGCACTGCCAGATTAACTAGCTGTCACGCATAGCCTGCAAAGCAGATGGGACCATCTGTGAGGGAATGTGACACGAAAGACTTCTATCCAATAGTCTGAGATCTTTCTCTGCAGGAAATATTGGTACATGATGCCAAACGGAATTTGGAAATAAAAAAATAATAATTTTGAAGTCAAAATTAGAACACGGAAAAGAGGAGAAAACACAGAAGGGAGATGAGTCCTACTTGAACTGAACTAATAAAATATCAGGAGGCAAGGATGGATGCTGGGTTCTGTGAGGTTCCTGAAGGCAGCCGCAGGCCATGGTGGGTCAGTCATGGCTGCTTGGTGCTTTGTGCCACAGCATGGGATGGTCCAGGGTGTCAAAACAAGCATGGGCTTAGAAAGATTTGCATCCCATGGATGATGCCTGGGCTACGGACCTCCTCTTTTCCTCCAAAATACATGCATTTCAGCCTGCTTACCTCTTCTCTGATCACCATAAGCTCAATTGGTCAGCTCGGTAAGTCACAAGATGATCCCTCTGCTCATGATCCCCATGAGTACTTCAAGGAGTAACATGTCACCTTTTACAGTTTTGGGAAAGACAGCTGTCAGGATCCCTGGTTAGAAGCCCTAGAAAAAGAAGCACAGATTGAAACTGAAATCAAGGCCAGAGCAGAGGCACAAACCAAGGCAAATACAGGAATCAGAGCAGGAGCAGGGAAGCTGGGTGCAAAGAAGCCTGAGTTTGCTGTTGGCTACAGCAGGGAGAAGCCTGAAGTTACTGACTGCAGCTGATGACATGGACACAACCCCTCTGCCATGGGTGTCACTGGCTTGCTGTGAACAGAGCCACAGCACACTTACCTCTGCATTCCCAAAACTCAATAGTTACTCAAAATCCACAGAAAGTTGATCAGCCCACCAGGTCATAAAGAGAGAGAGTCACTAACTTTTTGGAGCTATGATTTTCATTAAAAAATCGAATACTTGCCCCGCTGAATGTGCACATTCATGTGCACCCATGTGGGGTGGCGGCAGGAGGACACAGTGGCCCCACTGCAAAGAAGCATAGCTGAGCTGTAGCTGTACGGCTCATGGAGTGGCTGTTTGCCTCCTTGAGTTTAACATTTGCACTGCTAATGTGTGTAGTCTAAAAACAATAGCTTTAAAGTTAAAGGTCTTGATGTGAGAACATATAACTGTGTGTGGGAAAAGGTATTCTGTTAACATTTATGTTCCTTTAACAGGCATTCATTTCAAAGTGAGTTCTGTGTTATAAAAATAGCAGAAACATGCAAAGGAAAAATACTCAACATTTTTCTAAAGCTTTGCTTCCACCTGTTAGATTGAAATATTCAATTAGATAAAGAGCTATTACTTTGTTTGATATAGCACCTCCTCCAGAAAGTACAATATCATTTAGAGAGGACTTACTCAGCCTCACTACACTCCAGAAAAATATGTACTATTAACCCCCCTTTTGCAAATGGGACATCTGAGCCAAGGGGAAGTTGTGTGAGTTACCACTGAGCTAACAGGAAATTAGAGACGCAGAAAGAACCAGATCAAACACCTGGTTCCTAATGTCATATTTTAAATACTAGTTGTGATGTTACCACTTATTGTTATTAAGCTGAATGTTGTGGTATTGTTTTCATACATTTTTTAACAGACAACAAAACTGTTCAGAAAAAAATAGTTTGAGAAACCAAAAAGCTACTTTTCCTTGCTTTTTATTCTTTCCAATTTGTAAACAATACTAACGGTGGTATTAAGCACACCTGCTTTGGGAGTATTTTATACCAGCTTTGTCTGATGCTGCACAGGAAACTATACGTAATTTTTCCAAGTGAACTCCTTTTAACTTGTTTACAAGACTATAGTCAGTGGGAGATAGATACAGAGATTCTTTGACAAGCTGCTACTCAGGAGCACTTAAACCATGGTGCACCAGTGCCAAGGAGGAAGTCTAGAATAAGGGAGAGAATTGACAATAGATACAGAGGAATAGAGAAAGAGAGAAATAGTTCTCAGTAGCAGGGAGCATTAGAGTCAGAAGAAAAGCACAGACAAAACAGATGGAGACTACACTACTCACTGTTGTGTTATTATATTTGGTTGTTAATAAATATTAAAAAAAAAAAAGAGGCCTAGCTACTGTCCATGATGAGCTGCTGTAGCAGCAGTGAATCTAGATAGGACAGCAGAAACTTAGAGCAGCTTGCACCAGTGACTTTGCACCAGTGAAGAATCATTCCATGCCAGAAAAAGTTTTCCATAGCTACCTGCAATGCCTTTAGGACAACTTTGTGCAAAGCAACTAGACATAGAAGGATGAAAGAAATCACCTCAGTATTAGAGCAAAATAACAGGACAAACTCTGCTGTCAGCATTGTGAATGCAAACCTGTCTACCATGGCAAGACAGCTCTGGATTACATGAGAGCACCTCACAGTAGAGCCTCTCTCTCTGAACTTCTTTACTTAAAAAGTTTCTAAACCAGCAATACTTAAGCATGTACATAAGAATGTAATTGAATTGAACTTCATACAAATCACTGCATAATTAAACTAACTGGATGAATCAAATCCCCAAAGGCAAAAAGATTAAAAACCAAATATCTCCACCCTCCTAATTTCTCCAGCATCAGCCACAGTGATATGACCATGATCATACTCAGGGATACATTTTCAATGTTTGAAAAACAAACATCCAGAATGCCATACTAGTAGAACCGCAGAAAGTACAAAATCAAAATGAAATGATGATGCCTTTCCAATTAAATCATGTCCTCAGCCCTTAAGTAACTCTCAGCCTTCAAGTATAGAAAATAGACTCTATTTATGCAATCTGTAACACCCAGAAGAATGGGAGGATCACTGAGCTACAGCTTGCACGAAAGAGACATTTTGTGACTACACCGTGATCCACCTCTGAAAGATGGTTGAATTGCTCAAGGTGACAGGAACCAATATGACAACCTAGGCTGACTCCTGCATAGTCTTAGTATTTTGGCCAAGGCAGGTGTACTCAGGTCTAAGGAGGCTGTTACCCAGCAGATGGTAGGATCCTGATATTCCAGTAGTTAATTCCTCTACTGTAAAAATTTGCACTCTTTGCATCAGAAATCTACTTCTTAGCCTGATACTTGTAATTCTTAATCAAGGCATTAAAATTCTTTTCAATAACTTTGTAAGCCAAACCTCTTAAATCTCTCTTTTACTGTAAAGAACATTTCTGAGTTGGCAAGTCACTTCTGTAGGACTTTGTCCCATCGTATTTTTATAATAGATATACTGGATATTGCTGTTCTGTTTCAGAAGGCATTATGGACTTTTGCAAACATAACTTACTTTTCTGCTGCTAACTCACACTGAAGTATATAAAAAACAGAATAAAAATAAAAATAAGAGAATCCTGGAATGCCCAAATCAAATATCCCTGTCGTATATCCAATACCTGTATGTATACAAGTGGAAATGAAGGCTGACATTCAACCCTGAATAAATATGCACAAAAGAGACTTGAGGAGCTGATTTACACAGTACATTGCATGTGTGTTCACAATTCATGTTATGTGCAGAGCCACTGTTATGCTTGCTCCCTTCCCCTCTTTTATCTCCCAACCAAGTTATTGAAAGATGAGCTTTGCCACCATTTTAACTGAGTGGGCCTGTGGCAACCATCCTGGTTATTGAGCTGTTCTACCTCCACGATCCTCATCTGAGCACAACTTGCTGTCAGCCCTTTGCTCAGCTTCCTCTTTCAGGCAAAGAGGCTTCCAAAGCACTTTGTTGAACCAAAACTACTTAAAAGCAACAAGCACAAATTGGTCATTTGGCAAAGAATATTACACAACTAACTTCATCAGGCTTTCTCAGTTAGCTCATTTCTACTTGTGCATGTGGCATATGCTCAAGGGCTTGTTTGCAGTGCACTTGGCTGCAATAAGTGCGACTCCCAGATGGAGAACTAGCTTTGCGTTATCCATGTCACCCACCATAAAACGTTCTACATACAAATGAAGGAATACAGCTTGGGGCAGGAGGAAAAAAAAAAAAAAAGAAAGCAGAGCTAGAAGAAACACTCTAGTTGGATTTTTTTATTATTATTATTATAAGCCTGCTCTTTTGGCCTATTGCAAACCGCTAACAGTGAATACCGCAGTTGGGGGTGGGTGCTTAAGGCCCATTGAATACTGAAATTTTACTAATTTGTTGCAACAGGAAACATCTGTGCTAAATTCAGTGTTTAATAGCTCTTCCCATTTTTCATTTCAGTTGTGGAACATCAGTACCTACAGGACACTATCAAAAATTGTTTGAATTCACAGTCACTTCAGTTGTAACACTGATTTGTTGCTGTAAGTCATTTCAACAACTACGGACACTGCAATGTCAGTGCAAATACTCAATTATCCTACGGTTACTTTAGAAGCCAAAAGACTTGCGATTTCAGAAGTAACAAAGAAATAAGCATTTCAATCATTTCCAGTGGCTACATTCATTTGTATTTATATGAACAGAAGTTAACAATTCTTTAACCATTCTCTACTGCCACAGCTAAACTTCCCCATCACTTGAATTAGTCTCCCAAGCAAGCTAATTTCCAAGATACAATTGTCCCTGAAATAAACAATGGATCATTGAACACTGAATTTTACAAAGCACCGCATACAGGGAGAAATAACTGCCTCTAGGAAGATTGCTTCTTATTTGAACTCACTAAAATATCTACCATACAGATCCAAATCACCCTTCCTACCTCCTCCCTCCCTGCCAAAATGAAGGATGAGGCACGTGTTTTCTGTACATTGTCCTTTCCTTTGTCAGGGTGAGATCTGGTTCCAGTAAAGAATAAAACCACTGTGGGGCTGAAGGGAAGAACGGTGTCCTCCCATCAGCAGCCAGTCAGGGGAGGGAATAGGAATGTAGGCAGGCAACCTGGGTGCACGGGCTAGCTAGAGACCGCTTGCATTTCCCATTGTCTGAAGGGTTTCGCCAAAGTCTTTATCTAAGGACTTCTCTGCTTTTTTGGCTGTTTTCTTTTGAGTAGAACTGGGATTATCCTGACAGGACATATGTGGGAAGATCCTGCCAGGCCATCCTCTTCCAGCTCTTTGTGGTGTTTTACTCACTGCTGTATTTTGACCATATGTATTACTCAGCCAGCCACACAAAAATATAGTTAAACATTTCTACCCAGAGGCCCTTTTAGCCTTTTCATGTTAAGATGTCTATTTGTCTATAAATGGTTGGAATGTATATATTTTTCCATTTAAAATAAGTTTGGTGCACAGGAAGGAGTCTGAGATTCTTTAATATCAGAGAATGACAAGTAAGCCATAGCTTACACCTGGCAAAAGCTTTTCCTGCACATTCCCCTCAGGGGCCTAAAACATAATCTGTAGATAATGCTCTGCCTATTACAAACTACAGTCTGACAGTCATACTCTTTATGGTGTTGATTTGCAGAAGATTTCTGGTCACTTGGGATTAAAAAAAAACACTTATTCAAAAGCATTAAAAAGCATTCTTGTTGCCCTACCTTCAGAAATAAGACAGCAGAAAGTTTTAGGTATGTTTATTCAAGCAAAGGAAATAAGCATAAACTTGTGCCTTTTTCAGAAC